AATATGACTAAATTGCTTCGTAAAAGATTTTCCAATATTGCTTTGTTTCTAGTTTTAATTCATCAAATTAACTACAATTAAGTACATAAGAGGAAGTGCTATCATTAAAGCAAGTCATTATATGCCAGTTTTATTCAATAAGTTTGTTATCAATCTTACTGGGTTTTCTACTTATTAGGGCTTATTATGCTGCTAAAATAGCTCAGCAGCTATCGTTCGTTGGTAAAGATCTTTATTTGGCTTTATTTGAATGCAAGTTTAACCAGCCCGCAACGAATTTCTAATTCCTAGCTCTCGTATGTGTTATGGTCATTTTTGGATACAAATATTAAGTAGTCCCTTTCTTTTTTGGATAAGTGTAGAAATCACATTATTTTAATTTTTATGGTCTACAAACTCTCCTTTTATTAATCCAGTATCGTTCCTTAGTATCGCCTATATATTTTCGGCCTTGTATTCGCATCAATTGCCCTGATCTACTCTCCCTAGCTTTTCACTAGTATTTATCATTTTTAATATAGGCATAGATAATGCCAGTAGCAAAATTTATATTTGCCACGTCGATTGATGCATCTAACTCTATAACACATGGTCTACGACTTCCATTTCCTAAATAGTATATTTCCTCATCCATAATACTAGCAAGGTCTGCCTTCTCAATTTTTTATGTGCAGAATAAGCTTAAATATCTTAAATGTTCTGACTCGAGGACTTCAGGATTCATCTTATCTGAAGTTTTTACCCTGAATCGATTCATATACATGATCATGTTAATCTAAGAAAATGTATACCTAACGAACTTTTTTCTTTGAAAGCGATAACAGTCGGCTTATTTTGTGCGTAATTCATACATAAATGATTATATGCATGTTTTACCACGATAAGAAGGAGTGTTCCATTTCAGCGCATGTACATTTCTCCTCTGTATTGTTTTTTAACTATTTGCATTCCAGGGAAATGTGCAACTTCTTAATACACCTACGGTCATTATTATTCTGACGAAATTCCAATTCTGCGAAAAAATGCGGCTGCTTTGCAAAATACATTAATTCAACTAAGTTGAATATTTCAAAGGATCAATATTGCGCAGTACCCTTCCAAAAGAGGAAAAAATTAGAATTCAGAATGAAGTATACGCATTTTGAATAAGAAGAGAGACAAGCAGAATTATGTCAAGTCTTCTGTTAGCCTCGTCAGTCAAAAGGCCACCAAGCAACTGTGCTAATAAACCATGCTGCGACGAGTTCTCCTCTGAGTTTCCCTTCAGTCTTAATATTTTCTTGCCGGGAACAAATAATATTGTGCAAGAATTTGTGAGTCTTCGACATCGGCTTACAACAGCCGAGTTGCGAGTTCGCCTTCGAATGGGTCTGAATACATTTGAGTCCGGCTGTATATACAATAAAGAGAGAGTACTTCGTGTGGAGAGCATTACTGTGGACGATCTTATCAAAGCTGTAGACCTATTGGACGCTGTATTTCCAGCATGGAACGTATGGAGCAGTTCTAAGACAGATGCAGAGCTTAGCCAAAGTTAGCTACGATTCAAGGCAACCTAAATGGAAAAAATGACAACTCTGATGCTGAATGAGCGTTTATTGGCAAGGTGACTATTTCAGGCTTGACAATATATATGTACAAACATGTCCATGGAAGAATATTTGTAATCAACCTTTACTAAGAGTAACTTATTTGCATACGGATTTGTGAAACTTACTTTTAGATATTGTTCCCAAACTTTTGCATCTCTTTTCTAAAGAGATCGTGATGTATTTGCGGGTCTAAGTAACTTTAATGCGATCATAATATTGCTCAACTGGGCAACCTGGA